ACCTAACAGTTGGTTTGCAAGGCCGCAAGATAAATACACAAATTGAAATTTTCACTAAATGCTGCCAACTTAAACTCTGAAGTAGCAGTACCAATCTTCAGCCTTGTCAGCCAGCCATTAATGAGAATTTGCATTTACTCATATCTTTAAAATTCTGGCTACTGATTTTAATCTTTTTGCTCACTTGGTTAGTTATTAGGGTGTTCATAGTACGTCTTGTATAGACCATTGCTGTCAGGAATATAATGTAATGAAGATAACAGGTGTGTTTTGAAGTCCTTTACTGAGTTTGTCTTGCTGAGACTTTTCTACATGTTTCTCTAAAGAACCTGAATGTTTTGGGCAGGATTAGTATAATTTTTACATAGTTATTTTTATCTAAATGTAATTTTATGTTTTGACTTTTGTATTTTCTGTAAAGATACCTATTTTAGCACAAAGTAAAGGCATTCTAACCTATTAATTTTTCATGTACTAAAAATACATGAAATATATAGTGTGAATTAGAGATAGTTTTCTGTTTTACATTTTTAAATTATAATTAAAATATTACATTCCTCCTCCCTTCCCTTTGTTCTCTTCATTCTTTCTCATGTCCCCTCCCACTAACCCCTTCATGTCACCCGCCTCTCAAATTGATGGCCTATTTTTTATTCTTACATAGATATGCATAAATATGTAAGTATTCACTTATATCTTGGCATTAACCAAGAGCTGTTAACTTGGACCTCAGGAATGGTCAAAAGTTACACTTTCTGTTTGGGAAATGATGACATCGGTGTCATCATTATCCTGATAGATCTTTAAAATGATTATTAAAACAAAACAAGAAACGTCTAAAACCTCTGATTCTAAATTTGTTACCACAAAGTAACTAAGTATTTTTTAGGTCCATTAATGACAATATCTAAAGTTCTGTTAAAATTTTATGATATGTTTATGTGCATAAACTATTTTAATATCACTCTTCATCCTGTTCAAAGTGGTTTTACAGATTTGTATCGTGTGTTTAAGAGATATTAATTCACTATTTCTCCTGAAATATTTCATTTAGCATGTTATCTCCATGATCAAATGAATGAATTATAGGCAAACACATAAGTAACTAGTTCTTCCTCATAAGGACAAAATCTTCTAAAAATATAAATGGTAAACAACTAGTTATTCAGTTCACAATAGTGGAAAACTTTAAAGTTTTTAATAATGGTGATAGCTCTTTTGAGATATTTCCAGGACAGAATCCAAGGAATAGTATAGATATTATTGAAGTATTTAATGCAACATCTGATTCAAGAGAAAGACATTTTCAAATTAAATTTAGTGTTGCAAACTAGAATTCTGTGTAAATGTATGATATTTTAAAGTTTCAAATAAATTCTAGTGAGGTTATCTTCAACTTAATATAAAATGTTAAATGTACTTATTTTATGGACAAGTTGCATTTAGAATTCTAGCTTCATCACCTGTGGCCATGATATAGTATTAATCTTCCTCGTATAAGATATGTTAGTGAGGAGGAAGAACTGCTGTATTAAATGTGCTCAAGTCAACACCTGAGACTGATAGCTCCTCTTTGAGTGCATATATTGTTTTAATAGTTGACATGGTTATTACATCAAGGAAGTAACCAATAAAAGCCAAGAATTTTATGAGTAAGTATTATGCCTTATAGAGTATTAATAATATATAATTCCATTAAAATCCAAGATATTCAAATGCCCCAAAAGGTATTACTATAGGAGAAAATGGACAAGAAAACAAGACAGCCCAAAAATATGAACTATGGTAGATGTTATATGCATCGGTATAACGTTATTCATTTGATGGATATCGTTGCCTCTTAAGCAATTAAAGTATTGTTAAATAAATATAAAATTGTGTCTAAGGGTGTTAAAAGTTTTATTTGGAAAATAAAGTTCAAGATAATACATAAAACCAGCAAGTAAACAGTAGATAAATTGACTTCACAAAAATTAAATTTTTGCCTATGATAATTAATATGCATAGTAAAAACAAGAGAAAAGGAGAAATGTTTTTTGATATATAGCCCAGAAAGTTGCAAAGATCCATTACATACAAAATATTAAACACTTCAAAGAAGAGAAAGCAACATAGCAAATAAATCTTTAAAACATGTGAGATTAAGAAAAATATAAAAGAGAAAATTAGCAAAATTAGTGTATTCATAAAGATAAGAGTATTATTAGAACTTAGTGATAAATTTAATTCTCTCTATTTTCAGTGATTACTTAGCAGTAAAATGCTTTGTAGAGCAACTGATAGTAACTTTTAAAAACAGAACATATGCGTTTGATACAGTCATCCCACCCATGCGTGTCTACCAGCTACATATCACAAAAGCGTAGATATAGTTGATGATATTAATGGTAGATTTTGCTTCTTTTTATGTCATAAGCTGGAGTTTTATTAAAACAAAGTAGAATCATTTGGAAGAGGGAAATTCAATTGAGAAAGTGCCCCACCAGATTGGCCCTTGGACAGGGCTATGGGACATTTTCTTGATTAATGATTGATGTGGGAGGGTCTAGTCCACCATGTGGGGCCACCCCTGGGCTGGTGGTTCTGGGTACTGTAAGAAAGCAGTCTGAGTAAGCCATGGAAAGCAAAACAGTAAGCAGTACTTCTCCATGGCCTCGTCTAATTCCTGCCTCCAGGTTCCTGCTTTGAGTTCCTAGCCTGACTCCCCTCAGTGATGAACATAAAATTGTAAGGTGAAATAAACCCTTACCTCCCCGAGTTGCTTTTGTTAGTGTGTTATCACAGTAATAGAAACCCTAACTAAGACACCATCTCTTGGATGGATGCTATTTTATCATAGGTCTTTGGTCACTCCATGTTCGTTAGGACAGGTCCTTTGGTAGAGGTGACCTGGACCTTTCAATAGCTTTTAATGAAAGTCATTGCTTTATTAGTTTATATGCTTTCTGTTTATAGTTTTGCATATAGAGTTCTGCTTAATTTCTCTATTAGCTAAAATAATTGAAAAAAATAATTGTGGAATGTTTATTGGAAGCATGTTTATGGAAAATAAAATGTCGATGGATTGTGACTTGCAAAAGCAAAGGAAGATAAATATGTAAGAAAGTCTTAAGTACAATGAGAAGATAAGGAAGTAGTAGAAAAGAATAGATGGGGCTGGGAGGAAAGAAAGGAAATTAAGATCAGTACCCAACTGTAGCTTCCTTCACATCTCAGGTGAATCCACTCATGGAAGGCCTCTGTCATTTTCTTTTTTTTTAATTGATTTTTATTGAGCTCTACATTTTTCTCTGCTCCCCTCCCCACATCAACCCTCCCCCAAGGTCCCCAAGCTCCCAATTTACTCAGGAGATCTTGTCTTTTTCTACTTCCCATGTTGATTAGATCTATGCAAGTCTCTCTTAGTCCTCATTGTTGTCTAAGTTCTCTGGGATTGTGTTTTGTAGGCTGGTTTTCTTTGCTTTATGTCTAAAAACCACCTATGTGTGAGTACATGTGATAATTGTCTTTCTGTGTCTGGGTTACCCTCACTCAAAATAATGCTTTTTAGCTCCATCCATTTGCCTGCAAAATTCAAGATGTCGTTATATTTTTCTGCTGTATAGTACTCCATTGTGTAAATGTACTAAATTCTCTCTTTCTTTCTTTCTTTCTTTCTTTCTTTCTTTCTTTCTTTCTTTCTTTCTTTCTTTCTTTCTTTCATTCATTTTTTTTTTTTTGAGATTAGAAAGGGATTTAATTTGTTCTGTACTGAGTTCCAAGAAAATACATGATGATATAGAGGACAGAGGTTAGGCTTCATGATTTCCTAGAAATGTCTTAGGAAATCCAAATCAAAAAACAAAAGCCTGTCTGTCAAAGGTCATGCAGTATGTTGAGTCCAGGACACAAGAACAGCCCCCTCAAAAGCATGAAATCTTCTAGGTCTCTGTACAATCTATACTCAGTAAGCCAGCATAAACCATGAATTGAGCCACAGTTAAACACAGATAAACATGCTAGTATCTTATTTTAAGTAATAAATAATATCTCTTTCAACTAATAGTCATTTTTGCATACTCTCTGTTTTGGCATTAGCTGCTATTCCATGGCAGGATGGATACAATTTCTAGACTTTCTTGTCCTAGCTGAATGCCTCTGTCATTTTCTGTCTGCTGTGTTGTTACTTCTTTTAGCTAAACAATTAACTTACCAATTAATTATGTACTATTTTATAATCTGTACTAAAATGGTCTATTATAAATTTCGGTTCTTAATTCTCCCTCCAAGATTATAGTTTACCTTCTTAATTAGGTTTGCACTGTATGGAATCCTGAACTATTTCTTGGAAACAGATCTTCTTTTACTACACCTTGGTGATTGTTGCCACAGAGAAGCTCATTATTGGGGGAGGAATGACAAGTGTGGTAGGAAGGTGGCAGAAGAGGTAGCATGGGTGGATGAGGACAGAGATAATGAATATGGCTAAGGATGTTTGTGCTGTTGTTTGGGAAGGTGAATGAGAGAAGTGTTGAAATAACTTGCCTTGTCTCTTGACAGCCACTGAAAATGTCTGATTATTGCTGGTGCGTGAATAGTATTAATTTCTCTTATTAACAGGCTTATTCAGTATTTTCAGTTTTTTTAAAAAGTGATTTTAAATTGAAAGTGCATTTTAACATTTGAGTAGGATTTGAGTTTATATGATAGGCTTATGGGTAGTTTCCATACATAAACATTTCACAAATATACATCTATTTTACTTTTGATATTTTTCATATCTTATTTATGGATTATGAATAATATTTTAAAAATGAAAAAAGTCGTAGGTCTAAAATTTTGACCCTGTTATTTTAACCATCTAAGTGAGTTGCATTTGAAATAATTGAGATACAGTGTTCAAACATTTGGATGGTTGAAGGAAGAGTCTTACATACAGTTGCATCTGAAGGAAAATGTGCTTTTCAATTTTAAATTGAATATATTAAATTTCCTTTCTGGTGTCATGCTTTTGATAATAGGACATATCCAAGTTTGCAGAAAAAGACAACACGGTTCTTGGAGAAGGTGGAGTCACACTGAGTGGAGGTCAACGTGCAAGGATTTCTTTAGCAAGGTGATCATTTAATCATTGCTCCAGTGAGCATTTGCTGTAAATAATATGCATGTACAATTATATATATGCATTTCTCTACTGCTTCATGTTTTGTCTCTGGGTTTGACAATTTCTTTTAAGAACTATAAACAGTATAGTATTCAGATTTGGCAAAAAATGGTGGCTTTTTTCAAAAACCATACTCTTATTTTTATTTGTTTATTCTTTTTTGTTATGTTACCTGTATTGTTATGAACAGATAGCTATAAAATTTTGTAAAGACCAAAGAGGGAAATTACAAATTTCTGTTCTTTTATTATGCATTTCCTTCCTCTCCCTGTCCCAGATGACACTTTAGGTTTCCAGTTTGCTTCTCACTTTGGAGAATATACATTTTATATTTTTAAATTTTAGAATATAATTTATGATTTTATAACAAAAATAGTAAGGAAAATGATGATACTAGGACTAAGACTTCTTGTTTGTTCTGAGACAAAGGGACAAGGTCTCCCTGTGTGGAGCTCATGGTCTTCCTGCATTTGCTTCTGAGTGCTAGGATTACAGGTGTGTGCCACCACACCCAGCTGTGGTTTACAGTGAACACATGCCTTTATCTGTGATTCCGATCGTCATAAGGGTCATGTGAGTATTAAGAAAGTGCCCTGAGGACTTAGAAGCTGTCAAAAAGAAGCACATATAATTCTTGTCAGAAAGAAAACATCTTATTTAAGCGTAGTCTGTTCAAAGACAGTTGGTGCTAGGGGATGTCAGATGGCCTCTAGTTTTATTCAAACAAAAATTTTTTTTATTGTGTTACCAAAGTTGTTAATGAGAAATTACATTGAGTCAGTACTATCTCAGTATCTTGGCCCCTTTTCTTTCTTTTACTTCCCAAACCTGGAAAAGTAAAAAAAGTAAACACTTTGTACTGACAACTGATGTCTTGATCTCTCTCTCTCTCTCTCTCTCTCTCTCTCTCTCTCTCTCTCTCTCTCTCTCTCTTTTGTGATATCAAGCCACATACAACCCTACAAGCAGAAATTGTTCTCTACATTTTATGGAAGAAATCACAAGATAATTGAGGTAGTCAGACATTAACTTTCCAAAAGCCACAAGGAAATGGTACAGTCACTATTTAATCCAGGTCATCTTGACTCCTTACATTCAACTGTGCCTTGATCCTGAGAATACACTGGGAAACCAGATCATATGATACAGAGAGTTCACAGATGAGATGATGGTTTTATAATCATTTGGAAGTTAGTTCCTTATCTGTGAGCCAGCAATCATATACGATTTAAGTAGAGTATGTTACTTCAGCATATTTACTAGTTTAAGATTTAGTCATATTTGCTATGTACCATGTACAGTACTACTAAAAAGAGTTGTTCACTGTTATTCTCATCCAAATGTGCAATATGCCATCTTCTTTTGTATGATGAACACAGACAAACACACACATTTGAGAAACTAGTCATACATGTGAAGGAGAGTGTTAGTCTGTGTGTAGTACTAATAAGCCCACCAATGCATTTTGAATATATTTTACAGAAACCTACTTTATTTTTGTTCCCATTTATTGTCCTAAAGACAAGGAGTCAGGTCTGGTGATGGTATCCTGTTGGTAGAGTCTTGAGACAGCATAGAAAATCACACGTCAAGACAAGGAGTATGTTTGTGTGTGTGTGTGTGTGTGTATGTATGTGTATGTGAGTATGTTTGTGTCAGTGTGTGTGAATATGTGTGTCCTCTCTAGTATCCCTCTCCTCAAGAAGTCACAATTATCCAATCATGAAACTCCACCTTGATGATCTCCTTAATCCTAGTCATTTTCCAAAGGTCCCATCTCTAAGCACCACAATGGACTAAATTTAAGTCCTCTTGTACAACTCATAGTGGATTAATTTCAGAGGGGACAAATAACATTTTAACTATATTGCAGAGAAAAAAGTAAAAGCTAAACATGGTTAAAGACAGCACGTTTCTATGGAGTCCCTTAGTTCTTCCATGTTGCCTTCTAGACACTTTACAGCGTAAAGAGCTTTCGTGGTTTTATTTAGAATTTTTGCTATTTCTATTTTTGTTTCATTGCTTTTCTTATTATGTAATGAGTAAGTACATTTTGAAAACAAAAGAATCAGCAATTATCTTTTAAAGAGTGGCCTATGGAGCTGAGATAGAGATAGCATTATTAATAATCATCCTGAGAAAAACTTAAAGTTATAAAGAAATTACTTCATTTATGTTTATTTGGAAAATATATCTTTATATTTTTACTATTGTTAAGTCAAATCAAATTACTTAAAGGTTTTTATATTTAATTTAAAGTAAATTAAAGGCTGGGGAGATATCTCAGTGGTTAAGAGCACTGGCTCTTCTTCCGTAAGGTCTGTATTTTAGTCCAGCATTTACATTGTTGCTTCACAGTCATCTGTAACTTCAGTCCAGGGGATCTGACACCCTCTTCTTGCCTCCATACACTCAGCACACACATGGTACACATGCATGCTGGCAAAACACTCAAACACAAAAGTTTTTTTTATAGTAAAATTGCATATGTATTCCTTCTTATTCTGAATGATTGATCCTTACCTATGTGTAACACTCATGAAAGAGGTTCAGCGACAGACTATACAGAGGAGATCCAAAGTAAATTGTCTCATTATTCCTCATTAAATATAGTTGGCACTATTACTAGCGTAGCTCTGGAAGAAGTTACTAACAGTGCTACTTCTGCCCCATGTTGTGAAAGTGTGCTTTCAGTGCAGAATCTGATGGCATTTCTATAACACGTGTCGGGGGTTTAAACTATCAGTTCTGAGTTAAATACAAAAAAAAATGGAGGGAACCCTAACTTCATTTCTGCTTTGTTTACAGAGCAGTATATAAAGATGCTGATTTGTACCTCCTGGATTCTCCTTTTGGATATCTAGATGTCTTAACTGAAGAACAAATATTTGAAAAGTATGTTCCTTGACTGATTGAGTTATATATAATGCTCATGGTAAAAGATAATAAAATATCTGTATCATCACAACCTACATATTAGTTCTAGATCAGTGGTTCTCAATCTGTGGATCACAGCTCCTTTGGAGAGTGAACAACCCCTTTCTCAGTGGTTGTATATTAGATATCCCACATATCAGATACTTACAATTCAAAACATTAGCAAAATTACAGTAATGAAGTAATAATGAAAATAATTTTATGGTGGGATGTTACCACAACATGGTGAACTGTATTAAATGGTCACAACATTAGGAATGTTGAGAACCACTAGTCTAGAGCAATATAGCCACCATTTTTATGACTCAGAATGTAATACAGTACTTATTCAGTTCTGGCCTCCCTTCATGGCCAAGGTTGAAGATTGCTTCTATCAAAACCTTTTCTGATGATCACTTGTAAAGCCAATTTCTTTGACCAATGACCTGTTTCAATTGATAGTTAAGTAATTTTTTATATTATTGCTATCTTGAGACATGTCTTCCTGTATTTTAAGTGGTTATATTTTTAAATTTTCACATATCTTTCTGTATTAGTATTTAATTTTATGTTGTGGATAAAAATAATGATTTGTGTAATGGTGAATGCCCTTACTGTACATCTGCGTTAGTCCTTTCCTGGACCCAGCCCCACCTATGTTACAGAGAACTGGGATATATACTTCCTTAAAGTTCTTATTAGAGCCCAATGGGTATGAAGTCCCTAAGAGATGCAGTTAGCAATATGACTTGACTTCAAATTTTAAAAATAACTTCATGGATAACAAAGTACTTTATTAGAATAAACATTGCAGCTTTCTTGGATTTTAAGTGGTAGGAAATGGTTTGTGTGTTAAATGACTTAATTATTTATTGGTTTATTTCAAAGTTTTACTTCAGGACATTGTCAATTGTTGAAATATTCTAGAGCCCTGATTATTTTCTTTTATATCTTAAATGATATGTTTTAATTCTGGACTTCATTACATTTAACACTTGGAGTTAACAGAAGCCCCCTATCCTGGAGCTACTTTTATTCAGAAACATTATTTTATTTGATATTTTAAGTTTATGTCTCAGCTGAATGGAATATATTAGCATTGTTTTTCTAGTCATCACTCCAAGAACATGTCATCCCTGATCTCTGAATGAAATGCCAAGTCTCATCAACACCGTCTCTACTCTTCTACACGTCCCAATCCCATTTTGCTCATATGTTTCTGAACTAATCTATAGTGAATAAGTACATATGTCACAAGGCATCTTAATAGTGAATCTTCTCTTACTTAATTTTAATATAGAAGGCCCTAGTCATGTTCCTACTCACTTAAAGCTTATTGCAGCATCTCCTTCAGTAAGCCTTGCATTAACATACCTGTTATATTGAGTCCCTAAAGTTGCTCTGTAATGGACATTGCATCCATTCCCTGAGTTCATACAGTCAGAATGCTGACTAACCATCACTACGTTAAACATACAACTCAGCTTAAGACAAACATTTTCTAAGCTCTTAATAAAGATACAAGAGCACAAACCCTTGAGTAGTACAGAATGACACAGGTTCTGTGTGATGCCTTAGCAGGAAAGGTTGCTGCAGAATTTTACATGCACGGTTCTATTGGGTCCAGGGCACTAATTACTTTTGCCTGGATTTATTGTTTAGATCTTCTAGGAGTCATTGTGCTGTTTTTGTTTGTTCAGTTGTTGTCTGTTTTGCTTTACATACAATAGAGTTTAGCTTCATTGTGGGGAAAGAACTGCTTTGATTTTTTTTTTTTTTTTTTGATTTTTTGAGACAGGGTTTCTCCATAGCTTTTGGTTCCTGTCCTGGAACTAGCTCTTGTAGCCCAGGCTGGCCTCGAACTCACAGAGATCCGCCTGCCTCTGCCTCCCGAGTGCTGGGATTAAAGGAGTGTGCCACCACCGCCTAGCTGCTTTGATTTTTAAGAACTGGATGCTCCTTTCGTTCTGGGACTTCTTAGTGCCAGCGATATGGGCTTGTACCACAGTCTTCCAATGTATTTGCCTTTTAGAAGTCTGTTCTTAACAAGTCTCTCTAGTTTAAGACAGAAAAGAAAATCCCATTAAATGTAATACCCCATGCTATATTTATGGTATTGTAACTGTAGCTAATGTCTTACTCTCATAAAATTAGCTGTTATTGTTTATATTTAAGGATATAGTGATGGCTCTTCTTTTGATAATTAAGGGATAAAAGAAATTGATTCCCACCCACTAGAGAGCACACTTTAAGATTTACCTTTAAAGTATAGGAAAATTTTATTGGAGGAAAGTTAATTTGATTATGTATTTCTTAGTTGTTACATTTTGTTTTAAAACAGATTAGTCAACATAAAATTCAAGAGAAAATTAAATAAAAAATTAAAAACAGAAAATCTCTGACATTTTAGAAGCTATGTGGAAATATAAACTTTCAGGAACATTAAAGATCACCTAACATTTTTTTTTATTTTCTAGAGAAATAAACCAAGACCTAAGAGAAAATGATTTGGTGAAAATCACATAATTATTGCTTATCAAAAATTGAATTTCTTTTTATGTCTATTAGCAATCACCTTTACAGCATGATATGATATTTCATGCTGCAATTCAAGAGGCATCTAATAGTTACTATGAAATATTTATCCATATAACCATATTAAGTAACAGAATGCCATGATAAAGATTTTATGCAGTGATACATTAATAAGATGCTAAAATTAAATATACATCACTATTTATGTAGTAAAGTCTTATATGTTTTTATATTCCCAAAGCTGTATCTGTAAATTGATGGCCAACAAAACCAGGATTTTGGTCACATCTAAAATGGAGCACTTAAAGAAAGCTGACAAAATACTAATTTTGCATGAGGGCAGCAGCTATTTCTATGGGACATTTTCTGAATTACAAAGTCTACGTCCAGACTTCACTTCAAAACTCTTGGGGTATGACACCTTTGACCAGTTTACTGAGGAAAGAAGAAGCTCAATTCTAACTGAGACTTTACGCAGGTTCTCAGTAGATGAGTCCTCTGTCCCCTGGAACAAAACCAAACAGTCATTTAAACAGACTGGAGAGTATGGAGACAAAAGGAAGAGCTCGATTCTAAATTCCTTCAGCAATATGAAGAAATTTTCCATTGTGCCAAAGACTCCATTAGTCACAGAAGAAGATTTTGATGAGCCCCAAGAAAGGAGACTGTCCCTGGTTCCAGATTCTGAACAGGGAGAGGCAGTCCTGCCTCGCAGCAACTTAATCCCCACTGGCCCCACATTTCCAGGCAGAAGAAGACAGTCTGTTTTGGACCTCATGACATACACACCCACCCAGGGCTTCAGCAACATTCAGAGGACAAGGGCTTCCATTCGAAAGATCTCCTTAGCCCCTCAGATAAGCTTAAATGAAGTGGACATATATTCAAGACGGCTATCTGAAGACAGTGCATTAAACATCACTGAAGAACTTAATGAAGAAGATTTAAAGGTATGTACCCTCCGCATATGTTCTTTTAAAAAAAAACTTTCAAAAACATAGCACATAAAACAAATCTGAAATATTGGAAAGTGCATATTAACCAAGTTCAGGCATTAATGTTAATTATTCTTGTCAAGAGCCAGGTATTTGTAACTCTTACCAAGGCCATGTCTGTTTAGAAACACTTCTTGATGTCTACATAAATGCAACTATTTGCTTATATAACATACTTTACTCCATTTTGTTCTAGAAAACCACTAAAGCAGACAATTACTAGTTTATAATAACAAACACCGTGTCATGGGCCTAGTAAAGGGACTCAGTACTAAGCCCTTGTTTGGTTCACAACTTTTGGGGGGATGTGATATTTCAATTACAATCAGAAATAGTTATTTTATATTTGAAGTTGCTTATGTAAATAATGGACTTTGCACCCTTAACCCAGAGACTGCAACAGAATGCCATGGAACATGGAATATGCATCAAAATTCACTAAAATTATAGAGTTATGATAATAAGCTCAACATATATACACCAATACTCAGACTGAAAGACTGTCACTGTATGTTAAGGAGCAAAATGACTTTTCTTAAAAAATAGAGAGCAATGCAAAACAGGAAAGCTATTGTTTACTAAGCAATGCTTGTGCCTTAGATGAAGTTAAAAATAGAGTCCTAGAAGATGAGCATGTTTAGTGGCGCCAGTCTTTAATAGAAAGTTACCTTTTGGTCAATCACATTTCTTGTCTCTAGGCCAGAGTTCACTGTGTTGTCAAATCAAAGGATAAGTAATTCCCCCAAAATACACACTCAGTATTTTTATAATCTTAAAATGATTTGCTAAAAGATAATTCATCTGTAGGATTTAATATCCTTCTAAGTGAAACACCCAAGTTGAAGTCTATAAATTGTTGTCAGTCTGCATTGTAACGACTGATTTCTTTGACTAATTATGTTACCAGGTCATCAGTTACTTCAACATCAGGCAGCATACTTTATCCCCTTCCCTGTAATGGAAGGTCATATCCTTGCTCCTATTTGCAGAAAAAGAAAATAAAGTTCTGAGAAATTCAGCAACAGATACCCATTCAAGCATCCTAGGATGTTGCTTGTAGGCCTTGAATTTAAATAAAGGTCAATCCAGTCCTACAATCTAATTTCTAGTCAGTGAACCTTCCTCCAGGTTAACAGGACTTCTTTGTAAGTCTAATGCCACTTGTGAACTTCATTTATGTGTATGAGGAACAACCCCATCTTTTTCTTTTAGAATATATAAGGAATCTTTTTTCCCACATTTTAAAAATCTATCTTCCAGAAAAAAAAAACTAAAGGCGTCTAGAAAAATATATTTAGTGTTAGAATTTTGTGACTTAGGTTATAACTAAAAAATCCATAATAACTAAGGAATATGTAAGCATAAACTATCTTTTTTTTTAATAAATGATATAATAGCTAGCAAGTTCCAGACTACACTTGACCATGGATCACTGAAACAACTTAAATCAAGGAACGTTTGAGAACTTCAGACTGATGGCACCAACCACCTGACCAAACTTGTTGTGTTAGGAAGCATTTATATCATTTAAATGCTAACGCTATCCTAAAAGATCACCTTGTTTCTTAGTTTTCAAAACTAGTTTTTTTTGGGGCGGGGGGGAGGTTTCAAGACAGGGTCTCTCCCTTAGCTTTGGAGCCTGTCCTGGCACTAGCTCTTATAGACCAGGCTGGCCTCGAGCTCACAGAGATCCACCTGCCTCCCGAGTGCTGGAATTAAAGGCGTGTGCCACCACAGCTTAGAGAGTTGTTCCTTTATTTCCCTGAATTAAAAATAAGACCTCAGTGGTGGAATGGAATAAGTTTGTTTCAGAATCACGCTTCTTTTCTCAGGAGTGTTTTTTTGACGATATGGTGAAGATACCCCCAGTGACGACATGGAACACATACCTCCGCTATTTTACTCTCCATAAAAGCTTGCTTATAGTGCTGATTTGGTGCGTGCTTGTTTTTCTGGTTGAGGTAAGCATGTTTACTTGTAAACTGTTACCGTGACTTTAAATCAAGGATTGCGTTTGTATGGGTGCATACATGTAAATACTTGTTAATGTGTCAGTGGTAGCTGCCTAGATAGGTCATAGCTTCTGAAAGCACATGGTAGCTAGAGAGTTGGCCCAGTGGATAAGGGCTCTGGCTGTTTCTCCAGAGGACCAGGTTGGATTTCCAGCACCTACAAGTGCTTCACAATCGTGTATAACTCCAGTCCCAGGGAATCCAGTGCTCTTTTCTGGCCTCTGTGAGTACTACATACATGTGGTGCATAGACAGATATACAGGCAAAATACATATACACAAAAAAGTAAATTAAAAATTTTTTTTAAAAATTCACAATTAGAATTACTATTGATATTTTAGTATTTCAGGCATAACATAAAATATACTCTAATACAAATACTGTATATGAAGAATTGTCATAAAAAATTTATTGGGCATATTTAATATATTCAACATATTTAAAGGTTCATACACATTATAAAATGGTTACAATAGCAAAGATAACACAACTGTCATCTCAAATAACATATTTTTTGTTTTTGTGATAAGAGCCACTAAAATTCACACAGCTAGCTTGAATCCCAAGTATAGTATAATTTTATTACCTATAATCCTCATTTCATTCATTATATCTTAATATATTTAGTTTTTAAGATCTGAAGGCTCAGACTATCAGGAGTACTGATTGAAATTGAATAAATTGAAATTATGCACTGAAAAGAATTCTGCATATTAGTCTAGTTATTAACTAAACAGGTGGTGACTCATCGTAGTGATTCTTGGTAGCACCTTTGTTTTGGGCAGCTTCCATTGAGGGAGGCTTGGGTGACTTCCACAATGACATAATGCTTTGATTGTATTTGATTGTGTACCTGCTACACAAGTACGCAATATTATTCCTTCACTCTGTTACTTTTCCCGTTGCTATGATAAATCACCCAGTAAGAAAGGAAAGGAGAATTAATTTTGGCTTGTGTTTGAAAGCTCTATATTCTTGGACCCTGTCATAACAGCAGGGTAGTAGGGCAATGTTCATATTGCATGCACACTCTGAAAGCAAATAAAAAGCTCAAGAGCCTTCCTTAATTGTGCAGTAGCTGGAGACCAAGTATTCAGACACATGAGCCTAAGGATCGTTTTCAATCCAAACCATCAACATTCACCTAAGGAAAAAAATCATCTTGTCATTAGTCAAGAAATTAACTATTGAAGGGAAAGCAAATGCCATGTAACTACCCTTTGTTCACTGAGCTGTCATTATTACTAAAAGAAAGAAAGAAGAAGGAGAAGAAGGGAAGAAGAAAAGAGGGAGGGAGGGAGGGAGGGAGGAAGAGGAAGGAGGAAAAGGAAGGAAAGGGAAGGGAAAGAAAGTCATGATGGGCAAAATTCAGTCATGTCCTCTTGGGGGCAGGAAATAACCTAATGGTATGATTTTTTCCAATATCTTATAGACATTGGCCAGTTGAGTAACTTTCAAAGTGCTGAATAACAAGAAGAGCAATGATAGAAATATAGTAGGTTTTTTTTTTTTTTTTTGGTTTTTCGAGACAGGGTTTCTCTGTGGCTTTGGAGCCTGTCCTGGCACTAGCTCTGTAGACCAGGCTGGCCTCGAACTCACAGAGATCCGCCTGCCTCTGCCTCCCGAGTGCTGGGATTAAAGGCGTGCGCCACCATCGCCCGGCTAGTAGTTTTAAAATGATGTGTATGCTTGTACAGCTAAACAACATATATGCTAATATCTACAATTGTGTTTCTTTCAATCAAAATTTACATACATTTTCCTTTAGACTAAACTTCTTTTTCTTAATATCAGTCTGTGCATTTCTTTTGACTATTAGAATGTTTCCTGGTATATTCTATTGTGGTACAGGTGCCAGTCCACAATGGTAGTTTAGTTTTTATAAGCACTGATAGATCCTTATATTTAATGATGAAAATACCCAAAGAAACATCAAGATGCATATCCTCCTCATCAAAGTGAGTTACCTAATTTAAACCTTAATAAAGGCTGTATATCCATTCATATTTATTATTTTATAGCATTTATTTAATGATTTGTTTTTGTAATATGAAATAAATTTAGTAGTTCATCCTGTCTTTTTTTGTTTCTTCATATGCTAAACTAGATAAAAACCTGAATATTTAATTTGCTAACATTTTTCAGTCATGTGTCATTTTGGAAAAGTGTACATTTCATACATTTCCTATAAAACCTATGTCTTTTATAAGTTCTTATTAACACTAAGCAAATAGACTAAAATTTCCATTGTGCTACTCTTTCTAGTGGCCCTTCTTGGCAGTGTATCCAGGACTAGAAAGGGAAAATGTAAACAGTGGATTAAGGGATGTTTCCTGTTTCCTTTACAATAACCGGAGGGTGTTTTGAGTGCAGCATCTGAAGATCCTGGTCACTGTATTGTCTTACAGCCTTTAAGCCTACATCAGAGAACTGCTCTTTCTTTAGTTTGTTAATTAGGAGTTCCTAAGTGGCTTTGTTTCAGTAATAAGATAGAGACATAGGGTGTTTCCATAATACTACCTTTCCTGTTCAATAATGGTAGTCTTCTCAGAGCATCTTATTTTTTTGTGGATGCGTATTTTAGGGCATTATTTGTCATACAAAATGCATGAAAATCTATGAATTAAAATATACTGCATTCCATGTAATAAGGCATCATGTTTAACCTCCTCAGTTTACTAATGGAAAATGGCTATTATTTAGTTTGTTGCTGCTATAACTTAATCATCTAGAGAAAATTCACATGAATGTTATAGCTTTGAAGCATTCTAGAGTGAAATGATAGAGTTACTCTGTTGTTTCTTTCACCCTCAAAACTTTTTTCTAAAGGCCTCCTACCAAGTCTTCAAAAATGCTTTTACTATTGTCAGTAGAAACAGTTTGGATTGATGAATTCACCTGGCAGCCGGGAAATAACTTTACATTAGGAACTAGGCCCACACCTTTTTTTTTTTTTTTCCAAATTTTCAAACAAGTTTTATTCCCATACAATCCCGAGATGTTTCCTTTGCTTAAAATGTACACAAGGAACAGGATTCTTTAATGTGAACAATAACTTATGTCCTGGCTCCACGGCTGGGGTAAGGGACCATCTAGGACCTCTCGCCTTGGCCTCTCTGTGAGGTCCCTGGCTCGTACAGTCCTGGACTGACCTAGCTCATCCCCGACCTTCCCCATGCACATGTGGGTGATGTGGAATGGAGAACCACCCCCCTCGACCTGCCACCTGTAGATGACTTTGGGGAATGAGGATTGCAGCTCTTTAGAAGAGTTGTCTACTGTCTATTCAGAGATATGCATTTCCGGGATCTGCTTCTCTTCAGAGTGTGGCCAGTGGTTTTCTTCTAGTAGGAACATAGAAGGAGTGTAATAATTGAGTGTTTCAGTGCATGTGACTTATCTAGAGTCTTGAGTAATTTCATTAGTCTGAAGACACAGGAAGACATATGTATAAGAACAAAGACTTTTCAAAAACCCAGATTTTTGTTGGATTTTTTTGTTGTTCTGCATTTACTTGAATCTCAAGAAAACAAAATTTTTCTTTTTTACTAAGACAGTACATGGGGACTTTGTATACAGTGAGAAAACATGACAATTAAAATCATGTCATTCAATTTCATTTTTAAAACTAGTAAGATAAAATAAAATAAAATTTATTATTTAAGTAGCTGAGTCTTAACTTACCCTGATAGTGTCACTTAAAACAATTACTGTAGCTGCTGACTCCAGAAGTACAAAGCCAAGACACTGAACCTGTGTTCACTGAGATGTTGGCCGTGTTGAATTTAGAAATGAGTGTGGAAAGCACAGATAAAGATGTAGAAAAAAATCAACTGTGGATTATTCCATTTCAGGTGGCTGCTTCTTTATTTGTCTTGTGGTTGCTTAAAAAGTGAGTATTCTACACATTATTGTGGATTGAGTTTTGTTTCCATTTGGAGATTCTAAAGTATTTCCATATCTGCTATGTTTAATTGCACATTCCTCCAAATTATGAGAGGAGAAAAATAAGTTACAGTCATTCTTCAGTTTCTTAGGAGATGAATTCCAGGACAAAGATACTAAATTCTGCGCTCAAGCCCCATATGTAGAATTGCGTAGTATGTGCATGTATCTCATGCATGTTGCCACATCTACTTTAACATAGCTCTAGGTTTATATGATGCCTAGTATAGTGTAAGTTTTATGCAAGTGGTTGTTAAAGCAAACTGATGACAAGGAAAATAAATATATACCTGCTCAGTAAAGATACATTTTAAGAGCCTTTTTCTCATTCCACTAGTAACTAAAACTATGGATGCTCAAGAGATCCATAAAGTTTCCTGAATTTGTTCAAGTTGAAAGCTGTTTAGTGCCTTCAGGTCTTCACTTACCTTTTAAAAATTAGTTGTTTTCTGTTTCCATGAAATACAATAAAATACATAAAGGAACATTTTACATTTAATAGTTTATACTAAGTATTTGTTCAAATCAGTATCAACTGTATCTATTTCCATTATCAGAAAACTTAAAACTTTTTGGTAAGACCAAAGTTATAAACCTATGGGGATAGTCTCTTTTAAGTCCATAATTCATGCTTCTTTATGCTTTTATTATGATTCAGTTGCAAGTTTGATTGTAAAATAATAACCATTATTTTTTTTGCTTTACAGCAACCCTCCTCATGATGGGAAAAATGCTACTTTAACTACAAATAGCACCTATCTTGTGATTATCACCCATACAAGCTTCTTTTACATTTTTTACATTTATGTGGGAGTGGCTGACACTTTGCTTGCCTTGGGCCTCTTCAGAGGTTTGCCCCTGGTGCATACACTAATCAAAGCAGCAAGAATTTTACACCAGAAAATGTTACATTCTATTCTTCATGCACCAATGTCAACCTTGAACACACTAAAAGCAGGTAATTTGGATTAGGCGTCTAAAATGGAACTCCCTGCTCACTTGCTATCTAACAGCAGCATGGGCTTGAGCACAGGCATCTGCCCCTTACTCAGCTCCTTCTTTCACGCTTCTCAGATATTGTAGGCAATGAGAACTATGGTGACTGGCATTTCTGTAGCACCCTAATAGGGTTACTCATTTTGTCATAATGTGATTGACAGTAAGGCAGTAGCCTCAGTAGAAGCACCTCATTTGGACAACTTGGCCTTTTTCATTTCACATACTTGATCTAACTTTTCCCCAGGCATTATATTCTCCTCGATAAGATTGTTCCCAGGAGAAAGAAATTTGAAGTTGTCATGGAAAATAGAAAATTCTTCTATGAAAAGCATTTTTGATGGGGAAAATAACTGTTTCAGGAGACTCTTCAAAGTAGTCATATGAATGTATAAAAGGACATTGGGGGCAGGGGAAGATTTTAAATATATTTTGAGACAGCTACAGTACATGATACTTGGTATCAAGCCTTTTGACACCATTGTAATTACAGTCACAGAGAGAACCAAACGTTTGAAAATCTGTGCTAATAAGCATCTTTGAAAACGGGTTGCATTGATTCCTCTATGGATAAGCTCCTATTTAAAGACTGTGAAGATAATGAGTCTCCTACATGCCCTGATGGCTGTAACTAGAGATCCCTCTATAAGGCCCAAAACCAGGGAAAGCCTGTCACATAAACATGAATAGGATTTCATTCTTGCCCCAAAGGTACTCACAAGTAAGGAGAGATGTCAGGCATGACATAGAAATTACACTAAATATAGAGAATTGAGACTTCTTAGCTTGGTCTGTTTTTAAAAACCTCAGAATAAAAGCACATAGTTTGTCTAGGTGACCAAAGTTCAGTGTTGGTGTACTAGAAAGATAATGAGATTTTCTCTTGAGCCTTTGTATCTCACCAAAGGTTTGCCTCATTCACATATGCTCCTGACCATATTCTTTTTTTAATTTATTAAAGCTTTCTGTCTCTTCCCCACCTCCGCCTCCCCTTTCCCTCCCCCTCCCCCAATCAAGTCCCCCTCCCTCGTCAGCCCAAAGAGCAATCAGGGTTCTCTGCCCTGCTGACCATACTCTTTTGTTCTAAGAATTTTAGAAATAAAGGAAATTGCCAATTCACTTGATCTGGTGGGTTTGCTTCTATAGAACTCTGAGAACCCAAGCGGGTAAGGATTTCCCCAATTCATAGCATACTAAAACATGGGCCATGAATCACAGTGGAAAGGACACAAACATTTGAGGTTTAGTTTGGCCATGTATAAATGGTTATTATTACTGCTAACAGCCTATGTGAAATAAACGTTAGCTTCTTTTTGTCCTTTCCTTCTGTGGGAGGTTGCTCGCTAAGGAAGTGCACTTTTCCCTGTTGCTCCCATAATGTCCACTCACAGTGCACCCCAGCCTGCTCTGTTTCCCCTGTTAGTGAGTGGCACACATTCTTCTTTTCTCATTTGTCTTCCCAAAATTTCATCTGTTGTTTGTGTTCCTCCTTATTCACCTTCCTGATAGCTAAAATAGCAAGTTGATCTTAGAACACCTCCCTTTGGCCTGCCCTCATTTTTTTCATTGTTGTTGTACATAAAAATTTTGTTTTGCATTAAAAATGCTATTAGATTCATGGTTTATGATTCTCCTTCTGTTACCTAGTTATTCTTTTATACTTGGCAACAACTACTTAGAATTTCTCCTAGATGTGCCATTCAAAATTGCACATTGACTTTGTTTTCCCTTGATCTTAATTTTCTCTTACTCTTTGACTTTCTTATGCTACTTTTATCCACCCTGTCACACTCAAATGACTTTGTGCCCATATAGATACATAATATAGGTTCTCAGCAAAGTATGGTTATACTGCATAGAACACTAGTTGAAATAAATTTTCAAATAAAAGTATCATCTGATGATACTCTTTTACCAGCGCAAGCTTTCAGTTTCTAAATCATAATTATAAATGTCATGGTGTGTACATTCATTCTCTGAGTTATTTATGGAAGGATATACCACTCTTTCTAATGAGTATGTTAAATAATATGTTAACTAATACATGCCACATATCTACTAAGGATTTTTGCATTGGTCTTGGGTCATATAAAATAAACATGGAATAATCCTATCCACCTCAAAAGTCTACCATTTTGGAAAAGAGAAAGGCGTGGCTACACACACAAGCAACTGTGATATATTATAGCACATACGTAGTCTCTGTCACTCCAGCATGAAGACAAGGAAAGAAATAGATTGCTTCCAGATGCAGCAAATACCAAATCTATCTTGCAGACAGGGCATTTGAGTTGAGCCAGGAAAGAGGTACGAAATAGACAGGAGGAGATGAGGAGAAAGGGTTTTAGACAGAAGGAAACAACACAAGGTGAAGCAGAAAGGTAGGAAATGGTAGACTGTCTAGACAATAGACACACTTACTGAAAGAGTATTTGAGTAGAGGAACCTAGGTTAGTTAAGGACAAATTAAGGAAAAGAATTAAATATTTTAAATATCAAACAAGGAATTTTGGACTTCATCCTGCTGCTAATAGTTAGTGAATGATAAGGTTAGCTATTACAATGTTGTCATAGTGTTATGTTACACTCTATCAAATTGTTTGTTTACCTCCTTTTTAGACAATGAATTCCTCAAGGACAAGGAGAGTGAGTTAATTACCTCTGTTATCTCTGTACCCAGCTTTGTACCAGGCATGTAGTAGACATGGGATTTTTTAGTTCATTAAGGCAACAGATAATCAAGACTTTGATGTGTGAGTCTGAAATTTAGAATACAGGTTGAAGCTTAGACTGTCAGTGAAGAAGCTAGATAAAATAAAAAGGAATCTCATCTGCGATGTACTAAATAAAGGAGACAGCTATGGGTTCTGGAGAGTTGCTTCTGGAGGGCATAGACTTCAGATGGAAGGGTGTATATGCCCTGTGTCTTGGAGATGAATGTAAAGAGAGGATGAGAACACATCCATTAAAGAACCTTGAAGCTCAGAGCAGCAGAAGTGAGGTTCAAGTGGTAGGATTACCAACCATGCCTAACCTTAATTATAAAATAACCTGATTAACAACATTGGTTTGAGCTGACTTGTAGAGGGTTCTGTGTTTTATAAAAGTTCAAAGTAGAAGACAATAACTTGAATACATAATTAGAATTTTGAGCAATGCTAATATTTGCTAAGTCCTTGATTTTATGATTAGATGATAATTCTTATTCTAAACTCTTTTGCTGTAAATCAAATTTAATATGAAATACATTCGTGTCCTTTTAAAAGTAATTGCTTTTTTGAAAATTTTTATTTGTATCACAGGTGGGATTATTAACAGATTCTCCAAAGATGTAGCAATTTTGGATGACTTCCTGCCTCTTACAATATTTGACTTCATCCAGGTTTGTACAGAATAACCATTATGAAGGGTTTTTTATTTGCCATAAAGTTTTCTTAATAGTTTCAAAAAGAAGCAGATACAGTTTTGCTTATTTTTCCTATAATAGTTGAAGTCCTGGTTAATGACTTAAGTTTTATGGAGAACAGTCTTCAAAAGTCAGAACTTTAACCAGCTCTGTGAGTAGTTGGATCTGTTTATTCCTGTCAGGCCCTCCTTTAGATGGGAGTCTGTCTAGCTGGATGGCCATAAAATCCTCCATATCCTAGGTCCCACACTGAAATACATGAGTCTCTGGATAGACTCAACTCCACTCCAGCCTTACCCATGAGCAATACAATTTAGGTAGTGTCCCACAAAATGAGACTTAACAGAGGGAAAGAAGATGGCTTGTTGAAAACATGAAGGAAAAGAAATGTTCAGAAACTGTGAAGGCTTGCCTTCAGGGACTAGATCTCCCACATAGCTGGGCTGTGAGGCTGACTCTCCAGTCAGTTAATGAAAGTCACCTTGAGCCACATTAGGACTCCAAGGTCACAGGACCTAGGTCAGTTGTAAGCTGATAGCCTTGCCTGCTGATCCAGACACAGCCTCTGAGCTCTCTGAAGACTTCCTGATGCTTCGAGAGCAAATGTGCTTGAAGAGATAGTTGGAACGCAACACTGCCCTTATTGGGATGACTCATTCTTATAACTTGTCCCCTTCTCTTCTCTCCAAAATAATACTACATTGAAAGAAGTTGAATAAAAATATAGGGACTCTCACCCTCATGTGTATACACAAGCAACATCAGCACACACAGAGAAACCAGCTGCTGGTTTACCTCCTCTGAAATGATCGACATAATCAAATACACTGTCTAGGTGAACTGTGTTTTGGATTTCCTTCATCGCTGTGTGTAAAGATATAACTTAGCAGTAGCAGCACCTGTTGGAATTTTTTAACCCATGTTTGATTCAGGTGCTCAAAAGTGTGATTTTGTGTGTCTTTAACACTGGCCATTAGTTTCACATTCCAGAAAGTAAATCATAGGTGCATAATATGAGTATACTAATAAAATACAACACAGTGTAATATAATATAATTAGGTACTCACTGGACTGTGGACATATATCTGGGTCTGTATGCTAAAGTATTAAAAATGGTACTGAGTGATAAATATTTTTTTTTATTTTGATGGTCTACTGAGTATCTTCTATCAAGTTCACCTCAGAAATCTGGGAGACATAATTTTCAAATATTTATCTTACATATTGAAGACTTTACATTTATTATGGCTTTCAAGTCCCATGCAGCTTGAACAGTTTCAGCTCAAGTCATAGAGCTGCTAGGACTTTGTGAAGCAACAGACAGCGGAAAGGTTTCTCTAAGTCTAAGATCCACCCTCAGTGTTCCCCGATAGGGCACCAGCTCGAAAGCCCATGGGAACCAGTGAAGCAGCGGCTCACTCACTGGCTTAGGGAAGTTGCCCTACGTTGGTTTAAAAAATGATTGTTTATGGTTTGCATATTCAAATTAGCTATTGTGAAATAAATATTAGGAGACGTCTAACTTTTAAAAATAATGTGGGCTTGATGTCATGTAGACTGTCCATCTGATAAACACATACAAGTATTGCCAACAGCATTCTAATTATTTGGGGAGGTAATATTGAGAGATGCCTGTGGTTGGTAGGCAAAACTCATTTTGACAGTATGGATAGAAAAATAATGCTTAATTTCCTCTAATTAAATAATTGGAATATCTCCAATTATTACAATACAAGTAGGTGAGTTTTGAGAAGGGAGTAAACCATTTTAAACTGTTTCCATGAAACCAGGAGAAACTGGCTTTGAGATAGCATTGTCCGGGAAAATGCCTGATTCCTTCTTCAGAATGGAACAGGTAAAGGAACATGTGTAGATATGTTACCAGTACACCACTTTAAAAAGGGACATTTTCACTCACCGCCATGCTTTCTTTGACCCCACAGTTGCTGTTCATTGTGATCGGAGCTATAACAGTCGTTTCGATTTTACTGCCCTATATCTTCCTGGCAACCGTGCCTGGGTTAGTGGCCTTTATCTTACTGAGGGCATATTTTCTTCATACCTCCCAACAACTCAAACAACTGGAATCTGAAGGTACAGCATGGAATGAATGTGCAGGGCTCCCTGGACTTAAGGCAGTCACAGGAGCTTTTTATGCTTTTTATGATTCATTTCCATTATCCTGCTTTCAAAAAAAAAAAAAAAGAGAGAAAGTTTTCTGCTTTTCATCTCTAATATGTAACAGTGGCATGTGTGGGAGTGTGGTGGGGTAGTGTGTGTGGGAGTGGGGTGGGGTGTGTGTGTGGGGGTGGGG